GCAGAAAATGTAAGCATGAGTCAAGGTGTGATTAGTGTATTTATTTGTGATTTCCCTCACTATTTAACTCCTCGCTCTTATATCTGAACAAAAGGCAACTTTTGTAATTGCCTTACCCCTTCGCGTCACTTGCTTTGGTCAGCGAAACTTTTGCGATGTTTAGATTGCAGATATGTCAGTATCCTTGACCGACTCGATATTAGGCTCAACTGATTGATCGCTCTTTTGTCATTGGGTACGCATGTAGCAGAGCATACGGAGATATTTGTAGGTAATTGTGTTCGCCTGTCTGACGTCGTCCGTGATACACGCAGCATTACAATTGGCCAGCACTGGACTTTGAGTAAGAAGCCGATATTAGTTCATTGGCCTCATATATCCAAATTAAAAATTAACCCTATCACAAAGAAGATATCCAGCTTTTACAACGCGTCATTTTTAGCCACCAATCGTCGGATTTGACCACTTGTTAGGGTATTTTGTGGGGTCAGATCAGCTATCACTTGGGGCCTTACACGCCGTCTCAAGGATAAAATGTTTGACTTTAGTGAGGTATTTAGTCTGAAGTTTAATTGGTAAGCGAACTCTATACTCACTTTAGTTTCTAGCAACTTGCGTATTCATGTAATACTCAAGTAAATCGCACTAATCATGCGTCATGATTCTTATAGTTTTTGCTATTTTCTCCTATTGTTGGGTGAGATAAATCTGAAACCATAACAACGTTTCAGCTTTTTTTTAGTTCAGTTGACTAAAAAGTCACACTAGTAGCCCCAATAATCTTACTGAGCCGTAGTCATGGTAACTTCGAACCTTGAAAATTTGCAGAACAAAGCTGTTAGTTGGATTTCTTTTTGAATCCAAAGTCTCCCTATTAAACTTCCGGCTCATTCGGTTTTTTTGCTTTTGGTTATCTTGAAGGAATCGGTTGCCAGGCTGCTTCAGCTAATGCCTCCTCAGAGGACTCGATTCACTGGTCATTCTTGAAAATTGCCTTAATGCATGCGTAGTATTTAGAAGTATGAAGGCATTCCACACTTCTGCGTAAGTTGTAAAAGTCGTCTGGTTTATCGGTTCCAAGAATATTGACTGTTCTCTGACCATAAATTGGGATTCACTCAAATCATAAAAATGCGTTTCGTTGAGTGTGCACGCGAAATTGCATTTTCACCCGCCATCGAGTCAGCATTTGACTACGTAATCACAAAGGCAGGGAATTGAGATCGGTAAGTGCGTTCCATGGTCGAAGTCGCCATCGTTGCTATCGCCACTAGGGTCGAAAATAAATCCAAAGCTGGATTTATTAAAAATCCTCCGACCATTGGGGTTGTCAAGTATCTTAGTGGTGACCGTTTGTGCGTTGGATTATTGTGTATTGGTAAAATATTTACTATTGGACGGAAGCAGTGGACTAAACGGCATTCTTTGCAGGCTTTGAGCCATGCTGTCGGATTCTGACACTAACAGAGCGTGTTCCTTCTCTTTTTTTTTTCAAAATCGCAATATCATTTACGTCAGGTGGTGTCTTATTGCGTATAACTTGATTTTATCTTAGTTGTTTACATGGTGACCTCCTTAAAGTTTGCCTTTTACTTGTTATTCCCCTCTTGACTCCAGTTTTAAGCGGGCTAAATCCATGGTTGCTTTGCAGAGCATCATTTGGACGCGACAGCGCTTAATTTGTCAACTAAAACTTTTGTGGGTCATTTGTCCCCCTCCTTCTTAGTACTGAGGTTATTTGTGATCCGGTTAAGTCCCTTTTTAGTCTAAACGGAGGCGGAACATCCACTGCATACGTTTGGGTTGACGGGCGACTCCGTAGCAAGCTGTTACCAGTACGATTGGCACTACTTTCAATTCTAACCCCGTCCCAAGTCATTTTAAGGCTACACCTCTTTGCCTGGGCATGTATTTGCGCCTCTTCTGTGTTACCCGCCGCTTCCCCCACTCTCTCCTCAGTCTCCGCCTTCTTTTCTCCGTCCGTTCCACCCAAAAGACGAAAAACCGCCTAACGTTCGGCATAGAGACAACACGCGCACGCGCGTTCCCCCGAGAAAACGGAAAGTGTTTGTGAGTAGGTGCGCCGTGCATGCGTATGTGAATAAAATTTTCACTTTCCTGAGGTGCGAGAGTTTGTTCTTGTCACCACCACCGTCTACGCAGTTAATTTTATTCTCGATAGACGTTTACGCATTTTTCCCTCGCTCTGGAAGATCCGTGCCTCGCCTCTGACCTCAATAGGCATCTACTTCGAGCAGTTCTCTGCTTTCAAGGCTGTTCCCGTCTCAAGATCTGGGGATGTCGCCTTCCTAGCACTTCAGTTGCACTTTTGCTCACCTAAACTTCGGAGGTGTCAAGTTGCACTTGTGTGCGAAGTTAAGATGGGAGATGATTGAGGCAAAAATAGCATTTGGACGGGGTGGGACGGGACAGTGGCTTAGTAGCAAGGTTGAGAAGACACATTCAGTTGAGCGCATGGGAGGGGCTTCTTGTAGGTGGCCACCGCATTTCGCACCTTCTTTGGAGTGATAAATTGTCTTTTTGTCAGAAGCTCCTTTCGCTTCACAGAGTCAGCCACTCTCGTAGCAAAATTCATCCCGCTTTGTCTATTTCTCTTTCCTATGCTTAGAGCTTAAAGTGTTCCACTTGAACTAGATTGATTAGCTTTTCGCTTGGTACAGGATTTATGGTTTTTTCGGGCGCAAATCTGGTACACATTTCTTATTCTTCGACTGTACGGATGTTCATTATTTTAACTCGAATTAGGATTGCAATCGGAATTTTCCCATTTCCTAGCTACACTCATGGTTTCGCTACCCCTTAGTCTTGGTACCTTTTTACCGCCAGGATGCTAACCTTGCCCTAATTGTGTTTATGGCTACGTAAAATTATGTATTTTTCTGTAATTAGTGAAGGAGTCCTCTATGTGTTTTTGGTAAAGTCGCAAAGCTTGCTTTTGTCCCACGCTTTCTGAGGATTGAACTAGTCACATCAAGCCAACTTACCGGTTGTATCATTCCTGAGCCATTAATCACCGAAGTGATTTAGATTTTTAGAGAAACGAAAAAAACTGCCAGTCGGAGTCATACGAGAACATAAAGCTAAATTGTTTCCTTACCATTGTGCTGCTGATGATTCGGTGACAGCACCTTATTCCCTTGGTACTTGTCCATGTGGATCTGAATCCGCCGGAACCAAGAGGACTCTGTAGGTCATCCTTTTTCTGATGGGCACATATGAATGGTTGCATCATCTATCGTATGCAAATAAGGGTCCACTAGCGAAGCCAGAGGAGCACTTCCTCTTGATTTTGATAGCCATATGTACATACTTCCATATGCACATGCGCTCAACGTGGAAGCTACAGTAATTGCTCCCACCCTCTCCCTCTCTATATCCCCCATCCCAGCATGTCCACCGCGACGACTGTCCAACTATTGTCGTTGTTCCTCGCCGTCCTTCTCTATTATCTTCGAATTACGCACGCCGCCCAGTCCATATACCCTGTGCTTCTCCAGAACTATCTATTTGTGCGGAGTCTCTGTTGTTCACTCAGTTATTACATGTATTATGACTAGTAGTGTTGATAACTATTCGTGGTAGCCACAGTAGATGCTTCAGCCTTTGAGTTAGGCTGGCTTATAAGCGGTCACATGCGTCGTTGTCATCTTTAATTTATCGTGTTGTGACTGCACAACTCCTAGGGTCGGGGTAAGTTTTTTCCTTGTGAAATTTTTTATGCGGTTTAAGTGATCAATTTTTCATAAGAAGGAGAGCCGCCTGACGTGTTGACCTTGACCCTAGTTTCCTGATCTAAGTAATGGCAGGCATACCCGATCAGCAGCTTGTAGTCACTGTTAATATCCATTCTTAATGCTGATAAATGATACTTGAGGTTTGTAATGCAGTGATGTTACGGTTTACCATGTTTGGCAAGTAGAGGCGAACAATTGGATGATCTCGCTCGTTAGCATATTCCGCCGACGGAGCCCGGCTATAACGCCGTTGTTCGTCATTGTGGGAATTATCTTTGCACCTTAACCTTGATTATACCACGAACCTCACGGTTACACTGCCCTTCTGACGAATTTGTGACCTTTCGCCTCCCTTTATCTTCGACGATTGGGGGGGGGGGGGGTTACTTGGAATTTTGAGTTTGTTAGCTCTTCTCTGTTCGATATGAGCTTAAATCGAACATACAATTCTTCCCTGACGTAAATATAGAATTCATTAATTTCAGCTATTTGTTTAGATGAGTGAATATATTGAGCCAAAGCAACAATTTCATTCTTTGTAAGGAATGACATGTGCCTTGATTAGGAGAAGCTTTGCCTTCATCAGCGTTCCGTTTTTTATACCTAAATGACGACCCGGTAGTGTTGTTGGTTGATAAGTAGTTTAATCGTCCGCATCGATCGCTGCATTTTCCACCACGTATTTGCTATGTCCGTTGCGGTAGTCGGCAGCTGCGGCAATTTGACGCGTGACTATTGCTGCACCCTCAGTGGGAATTTCCCATTGGTCGGTTCGGTTCATGCACTGGGGTGCGTACGTGCATGAAGGCAGGAGGCGAAGTTGGCGATCCTGCCCCCTCTCCTGAGACTTCGAGATTTAAAGGGGAAGGAGGTTTGGGGAGAATTTTATGTCCCCCAGGTCACTGGTATGCATCTCTTGGCCTGATACGCCAGAAGTATCTTTTCCAAGCCTCTAACTGAACATCTAAATTGCTCTAATGTCTAGTGAGTTCGACCCACCCTCGACTAACAGGTCCACTTTTTTACCAATAATGGGATCTAACATATCAGCACCGAATTTGTAGAGTTTTCTAAATTTGGAATTTATTGTAGTCCAATATTACCTAGTTCTTGTGATGATACTATTAGAACGAAGCAAGAAGTAGCTATCAAGCCCAAATAGCCACATTGTGTTTGACATTTACCATTAATAACAGTTGACCCCCGTCAAGGTGTGCCTGACCCGTGTCAACCGACTCATTTCAGTTAAAGGCAGTGCACGCCTTCAGAAACAGTTTGGATAATTCGACTGAACGCCAACACATTGCCATGGCGCTACACCAGCAGCGTCAGGCCAAGTGTCGCGAAGTCCGAGCAGCATCCATGGCCCAACATCTACAGCAGCAGCAATTAAATCAGCAAAAACAGCCGCACAACTCATCCAACGACACCCAGATGGCAGATAACATTCGCGAATTCTATCGCACGCCCACTATGCTGGCTGAAGACGAGCCCTTATATTCACACGGACAACCCCAGCAGGAGCATCAGCTACGGGAGGAGGAGCATGAGGAGGGGTTTGAGCAGGGGAGAGGTGGTTGGAGAGGCACATTGATGGAAGAGCAGAGCTCAACGAGTTACGATGTGAACAGTCTGGTTGAGGAGCCGGATGCTCAAGATTCGCGGGCTCAGGAGGCGAGAGAGGAGGTGTTCAGGGAGGGGGATAAGTTCAGCCAGCAAATACCACTGTGGCTACCCTCGGAGGAGGACCGTCGCACCCCAACACTTCCGTGGACCTCCTCGCTGGATGCGGAGACGCTGATGGAAGTAGGCACCACGCCGACTCCAGGAAGTGGACGGAGAAAATCGACTAAAAAGACGCCTGCTCCACCTCCTCCAGTGACTCGGAGTCAGGCTCGTCAGAAATCCTCTTCCTCGGGCTCTTCCACATCCTCGCTGACATAGTCTCTTGACCACTTCTCTCTCCCACTAGTTCGCTCGCTCGTCCTTTCTCCCTTTTCCCTCTTCCTTACCACCACCCACACCCACCTATGCAATCACCCTCACCACATAATAGAGCAGAAGCGCGAAAGGGAAAGACATTTTGTGTGCACCCCTAGCGAGAGAATGTGTGTATGTGTGCGTGCTTGTTTTTACGTGTAATTATGTAGACAGTCCCACATCTCCGAACCCCGAAAATGAAAGGCTCTTCTCGCGCGCCTCGCATAGTTTACGATGCCTTTGTGCAACCCTAGCCAACTACGTTAAATACGAGTGAGTACGGCATGCGCGCATACTTTGTCGCGGGCTTGTTCAGCATGCTCTCTGCCTCGTTGTTGTGCTCTCTATTGAACACGATCCCTTCGTACTTCATGCATTTCCGGAACTGTCCCGAACACTGAAAGAAGATACCTGTTTTATTGCGTTTTCTCCGTTTCCATGAATCCACGCTTTAAACGTGAGCTCTATCTCATGAGGAACCGCAAGACTTTACTTCTTTCGCATTGCATGATTTCTTATCTGTTGTACCGGAGGATGGCGTTAGAGCAAGATACCGACTTAATTGTTATTTTATATTATAGCTCCGCGTGGTAGAAGCGTTCAAAGCGAGTCTGCCAAGTCGTCTGGCAGGCCTGAATCGCGAGAGCGTGACATCCTTGCATCGCGCATTGGTCCAGTGTCCTAAGCCTCTCTCGCTCACCTCCTTGGTGGACGCCGAAGTGGAGAAAATACCCACTCAGCCGACCTCCCGGACTCAATCTAGCCCTGCTTCGGGCTTTCACTACTCCAAGGCCCCACCGTCTCCGCGTTCCTTATTTGATTACAATTAGTGTGAGAGGGGGTGAAGGTGAAGTGAAAGGAGTGCTCGGCACGCACAGACATCCATGTTTTGCGGGCTCTCTGTGGGCTTCCTCCAATCCGCCTTCCTTGCTCCATCAAATCATTCGATTCTGTGATTAAGCCACCTCCATTCATCTCCATTTTTTAATAATTGTCTCCTATTTTAGTACCTTCAATGCAATAGAGAGTAGTTGAGTCGTTAGTTGTCAATTTACCCGCCCACATGTTCACATTCCCACTCTTCGCTCCTTTCCCCTCCCTCCTATGCTGCTAAGCCTTGGGCCAGCGTTGAATCGCACAACCACACCGCTCTCATTGTCACTGCCATCACCAACTAAATGAGCATATGCATATGTCGATGTTTTTATCTCAACGTAGGAGCAGTTCTCCGCTGTTATATATGTATTTTGCTAACTATGGCCATCCATTCCTTTCCTCCTTGTGCTTGTGCTCTGCATTCTGCTACACAGGCACACGCACACGCGTGCTCGATCGCGTCTCACTCAACAACGCCTACCGACCGCGTTCTGTTATACTGAGGTGCTCAAACGATTACCACAACCATTCTTTCTATGCGTTGGATGCGATTTGTGAATCTTCCGGCCTGTACCCCGCTCCCTGCGTCCACCATCATAAATACGTCCCAAATCACTCCTTACTTCCACTACTCCCTTCCCCTCTTCCTTCCAAACTAGATACCCTGTGTTTGTGCGTGATGTTTAGCTTCTCGCTCCCCTAGTTATTGGGTAGTTGGAATCCACCTCTCGCTTCTAACACTCCTTCAGTACCCGCCTTCTCTCTATCTATCTATCTATTTAAAAAATTACCATCCCTCCCTGCTGAGAATAAAAGCAGATCTAAGTAGATCCTTAGCTAAAGATTTCTTCTTGTAGTGAAACTCATTGATGCTCACCTTTTTGCCACGGCGCAGTCACACTTGAGTCGGTCACTAGATTTTTCAGATTAGCCAAAAGCCTCATGCGAATTAGTTGAATATAACATACTTTGGAAGAATTAAGCGCTTCCATTGTGATTTTGTTCAAATGAGAATCAGGGAATATGTACAGCATATACGAGGACTGCTCGGTTTTTTGCGAAAATCAGTGAACGAGGTCATGGAGGGTGTCTGCTGTGACAAGTCCGTACCACGTTAGAAGTGCCAGGTGCAGTACACAGGTAGGAGAGTTTCAAGCACGAAGTAGCTATTTCTCATTAATTTAACCTAACTCAAATCTAAAGATACGCGGCTGACCGTTCTAGCTCTAAAATCAGGTTTAAAGCGCTATTCAGATTTATGGGAAAGTGCTTCACCACTTTTTTGTGGGAACAAAATGTTGATCCTGCGTTTCCATGGATGCTGCATAGTTGCTGCTACCGGGGAAGTGAACAGACCAACCGATTGCTAATCTCCTCTTATTTCACAATGGTGTCCCGCCGCTGGTGCACGGTGCGGGGATATCAATCGCACTCCTACGAATATACGAATTCATTGAAGCGGGTGGGTCAGTTATTGCCTGTGCACAGTATGCCCACTTGAGGAACTAGGAATTATGGGACCGAAGAGCATGCATTCGTCATCTACCCAGCATGCTTATCCCTTTAGATTTCAAGAGTTAATATTTCCTCTTAATAGACTGCCTTGGAGTTACACCGAGTCACTGTGTTCTCAGCGGGAGAGGAGCTATAATTTGCATGATAGTAACCTAGAGGTAGATAGTGGCAAACTAGGCCTCTGTGAACAACAAGCTTTGGTACATTTTATTTTAGAGAATGAAGTATGCTAGATGTGCGTTATATCCAAATATTTTGTGCCACACCCCTATAGAGGCATCCATCATCTTATCACTTTTTGTCAAAATATGACAAACATTGAAAATCCCCAAATTTACAGAATCGCGGCAACTTCGCTAATCCTCACAGACGATCTCATTCCAAAATGTGTACCAGATGACGGTCGTCAAGGTATTTTAAAATGAATTTAGTTAATTTACTTTTAACAAACTTGTTAAACTGAAGGAAAACTGATGAGTAGTGTCGGTATAAAACCCTACCATCTTATTAAATTTTTTTCTGCAATATTTGCTACCAAGGCTTGGTATCCGACTGGTTTATAGGATCACCTGTCGGACGCAATCGAAGCGAGTGTGTATATCCTAATAGCTTTCCACAGACGCTTTTCGAAGACAGGAATCCTTCCTTTTATGTAGTAATAGAGACTATGCTCTTCGCAGGTCAGCATATTGAAGGCGTTGTTGGAAAACCAGCCGTCGAGATTGATGTAGGGATCAATCACTAGCCAGACAAAAATCTCGGGGCTCTTCGCACGCAGCTGCACCTCGAATGCCTGGTCCCACCGAAAAGGTGGACTCGGGATTTCGGGGGGTGTTGTATTGACGCGTCTGACCGATGTGACCGAAACAGACCCTGCTGTCGCCGGCCACTGGTGCGCCATTTCCTTGGGAGTCAGTAGAAGTACGGTATCATTCGTCTGTTCCACCGCGTTTTCAATCACTGTAGTGAGAACTCCCGACGGGCAGCTGGAGAGCAACCATTTCATAGTGAAGTTAGTGACTTCTAGAGGACATCCGTTTGGTTTCCAGGGTCCAAAATTGTCTCCGCTCTGGAAGAGCACCTTCGGTTGGGGGACAAAGGAAAGAATGGAGGAACAAACCACGCTGAGACGTATTTGGTTGTCTGTCGGTGGGTTGATTGGAGGCACCCAATTGACCAACACCCGATTTCGCACCCTGGACACGACTGCTCGACCAATCGGATGAGTGATTGATGCGGTGCCTCTGATGGCAAGGTAATGCGCAATCTTCCACTGACCGGCCACATCGATTGTGGACCAGGTTGGAGCTGCCCACACGTCGTTTAGCTGCCAGTAGAGATGACCCATCGATCTGCCCTGTCCCGTCGATATACAATCCCAGTTGTCGTTTGGAGCGCCTGTGAAAATTGTGCACTGATGGCGCTCCAGAAGGTTGATGTGGGTTTTGTAGGCAATAGCTTGGTAGAGCTGTGTCAGGTACGTCCAGCTATAAAGAGGAGGGAACAAAAGTAGTGTTGAAAGGCATTTTCGGTGATTATTCCCGACACTCACACTCGCTGCAAAGCCCATTTAAAGATTAGTAACAAAAAAGAAAAAAACAGTAAAGTTCGTTAAAATGTCTTTTTCATGCCTTCCAGCTTAAAAATCAAACTTTGAAAACACTCCAAACAAACTTTAAATTGAATGAAAACATACCTGTCTTTTTAATCTGCAATTATTTTTAAATAAATCGCCTAGTGAGTTTGTGTTCTAAGGAATACTGAATAGGTTTTTTTGCATGCTTTGGCTTCAGAATTTTTTTTGGATAACCACCCTGCAATTACAAAAGTTGCTATTACTGAAGAGACTTTTCTTTACTGGGTTTCTTAAACCATTCTGTAATAAAGTTTTGTGATACGGTCGTTTTTCGTGAGATTGGTACATCATAATACCGTGCTGCATGAGGTTAGTCATGTTAAAAGTGCCCTTTGGCATCGTTGTGATCCAAAACTGACCTCGAATGTGCGAATACGTGGGACACACACTTGAGCCCCATTCCACGTCCATGTGATGCAGTTGAGGCTAAGAAAAGGTCTTCATGAGTCAGGTTAGCAGCAAACCCTCATTCAGGTACATTTTCATCACTCTCAAATTCCAATGTCATACACTTTTGGCCCTGCTTTATGAAAATTAAACCACCAATACTTGAAATCCCTTTGGGGGGCTATGTACCCGACTAAAAGTAAGCGCTTGTAAAATGGCTGTACCAATAGCCAGTCGGACCATCCAGAAGGGCAAACCATGCTTGATATTAGTAACCCTGATGGTTGCTACTGCCTACTTCTAACACGGCCAAAAAGTACCAATGAGCTGAGACATTAATGAGAATTAAAGCTTTCATTACAGTTTATCTTGCCTTCTCTCGGAAATTTTTGCGACTAGTAATAATATTGACAGTGCGAATACAACGGGAGATGATTTTAGACTTCAAAATATCATTAAAATGCACAAGAAATCTTTATGACACCATCGATTTGCACTTGCAAATAACTCCTCGTTTACTCACAAACCAATATACAAGTCTACTGTTAATTTCTCTCCTCTACTGTCGTGGTGTTTTGATCTACGAATTCCTTCAACGTGACCAATGCGTAAACAAATAATGTTTATTAGTATATTATTCCATAAGTAGCAGGTGCGGCGCTGTCTTACTTACGCAAGACATTGGGAAACTTCCATTGCATATCACTAACTAATTCCAGGAGATCGAAGAAACTTTTTAAAAAGGTTCTACCAACTGGTGCGAAGAGGAGAGTACGCATTTCGGCGACCACTTTGAAATTTCACGTCTCACCAATCAGCTTCCCTTCCCCACTTTAAAAGCATTATCCTTGAAAATTTAAGTGATCACTCACATAGTGTACGTCTCCTCTTTCGTTTGGCCGACTTTCGGCTCTCCGAACTTCTCCCTAATGAATCTCTGCAGGATGTCAATGCCATCGGTTTTGTGTAGCCTGTGCATCATTAGCTGCCCGCGAATCATCCAATCATCCGGTCGGCTGCTACTGTTGTCCAGCGACCGTAGCCACGCCAAAGGACCAGGCAAAGACATGATTCCATACTCCGATGTAAAGCGAGTAACTGGGTACGTACACTCATCCCACAGGTCTTCGTAGTAGGAATAGAAGTGAACATCACCTGAGAGGGGATCCTAGGAGATGGAAGTTTACGTAACACGATCATTCTCATTATGTTAAACCCGAACTAAGCATAGATATCTCATATCTCATTGGACCTGAGGGTTCAAGTCGATGCCGTAGGGGTCGGTGGAGGACTCCGCATTGCTGGGAGATGAGAGGAGTACGCGGCGAGGGATGTAACCAGGGCCTTGTACAGTCGGTATCTCACTTCGCATCGCGATGGTGGCAATTGAGTCGAGAAATCGACGACGATACTCCTGCTTATCAATTTTAGGGCCGTACCAGTGCTGAGCGGCGGCCACCTCAACCTCGTTATTCGTAGCCCACACTACGATGGCAGGATGATGGTGTAGTCGCCGCACCTGCTGTCGCACCTCCGTCTCTGCACTGTCCACTCTGCAGACACATGTACTATTCTTATCTTCACATCATCTTCCCATCCAATCACTCAACTATTGGGGTAGGTGTGCTAGTGCTTGGGCAGGTGGGAGAATATGATAAACAGAACCTGATTTATGATAATAAAGTGCCAATGCACCATACGTGTACACTTAAAAGATACACCAGGACTAGATGTGAATTTCGTCATATTGTGAGAGAGCTAAGTAAAATTGACTTACACGTGAATTTTATGCATCGTTAAACCTTGCTTCCTTCTTAAAAATCACAAGGAGGCCTAGAATTTCATCTTTAGCCCATATCACTGTCGGCTGCTTATTGTAGAATTGCTGCACCGTTTCTGTCCAAAAGAACGCAAAATGTTTCACTTCCAATGCATTCATCATATCACATCTGTTTGCTTGGAAGTTCGTCCCGTGCCAAAGCTCAAAAGCAGATAAACTGTCCTTTTGAGCCATTGATTAAGACCCAACTCATAAAAATCTTGCTCCACCACCTGAAAAAAAATTATTCAAGCGAGGGAATATGTTTGGATAAATAAGTGAATTCAATGGGCAATTCTTCGACCCGGTCTGTCCTCTGTTTATTCTATCTCCAAAGGTTGTCATCGCTGGAGTCATCTTTCGTTGCAGTTTTGAATGCGGCCACAGCCAATATGTCCTTCGTCAACGCACGCGCGCTCTTGAATCCACCGCCTAACGCGTCGAAGCCGTGGAAAGCGTCTGCCAAATTTGCAGTCCACCGACTACATGTAGACGCGGGACTAACTGTTTCAATTGTAAAGTGGAAAATTGAGAGTACTAAATCCTACAAACGACTAAATTTAGACTTGCAATTCAAACATGTTGTTGCTGCTTCCTTTTACATATTACTCGGTGCCACTAAATGTTGGTAAAAATTTTTCTTGGGTTATAATGTTACTTCATATTCAGCTGATAACAACCGTAAATGCTCGCATTATAGTGAAAAAATAAATAATTTTAACAGTCTCTAATCTAAGAAAGTCTAAAAGCATGCATGTTGGATGACAAAATTGTAAGTGAATGCCATTTTGACTCACGAAGACCCTAGTTTCACCGGATGGATATGGGAAATTGCGCAGAGCCTGACTTTATCATAGTAAAGGACTAACACCTTCCCCACTGTGCAGCTTGATTTTCATACGCCCTTGTTTCTATTCAAAAGTTCTTGTTTTGCCAAAACAAGTGCCAACGGAGGATTACTATTTTAAATTCCAAAGTGAAGTGGGTAATGCTAGGGAGTGCGTATGGAGGCTGTTGGAAATCCTAGCAGTGAATGACAGCTTTAAAAAGTGTTGTGACAACGACAAGCACCTCATGCGTCAATCGGAAGGTTGAACGGAGTCTTTAAAGATAAAAAAGCAATTTCACTTTTAGCTTCAATTTTACAGTCTCAATCATCCTCTGTGCTCCATTCAGCTATTGTCTAAATAAACAAGCACCGGCGCAGAGTGTAATTTTAAAAATCACAATTTCATGCACGCTTTTCTTATAGCAAAATTCAGTGCTCAGTATGCAACTTATTCTACTAAACGCAGTAGGAAAAGTAAGTTTTACTATGGGCTTCGATCTACATTTATTAGTCCTTTGGGTAGATGGAAAGCAAAATTTTGAAACGAAAATTGAGGTAAATAGAAGATTCACTCAGAATTGACCACGGGCGATGAGTGAAAAACCACCATAATCATCAACTACACATCAACAAGGGCGCGTCGCTTAGACTTAAGAATTTGTTCATTTTACTGCAATTAGCAAATTGACCAAGATTGGCTTCATCATCATCATCATCATCACTTGTTTAAAACTAAGATGGGGGGAGGAGGGGGAGGAGTTTGTGCTCCCTGGCCTTCCTCTCAGACCACCCACGCTCCTCTGCGATGTGTACACGCACTCCCACGCGCGCGAACCCGCAAACGAGTGATTTCCTCTCCTTTAGCTTGCTTGGCGGAAGTAGCCGCCCCTTCTTCTTTCAGTGGGACTTTTAACGACCCACAATGATTGCATTTGTTTGTTTGCTTACACGAAACCAACCGTTTCGGAAAGACGAGTATTTATAGCTTGCCTAGGGGTCCACCAACCGCCGCTTTTTTGCCCTTTCAGTAGGGCTAAAGTTTGCTGTTGATGTCTTGAGTGAGTATATTGTCTAGTTGAGAAATGCGGAGGAGAAATAAATTAAAAATGATTTACTAAAACGACTGTGCATTGGTGAAAATAAGAACAGACTACATCTGCAAGAAAGTGGAAAATCCATACTTTTCAATGGTCGCCAATCTCGTGGATTTTTGTAATGCATAGTAATTGTTGTAAACAATTTTGTAGAGTGATCTGAGGGTGAAAATGTGTCATTTCAAGAAAATAAACACAGATGTCCGTCACACTGCCACTTTCATTTTATGCTCAATGTTTAAGCTACTTTCTATCCAACGAAACGGATTTAATTACTTTCCTCTTATCAAGTTTGCCTCATTTTGTGCCGGAAAAATAAGAAGACAGATGCTGCCTTAATTTTTGAATCAAGAAAATGCCAACTGATGGCTGCTTCACTTCTAGCGAAGGTGAGCTTACTCTCCGCTGGGAGGTTTCTTATACATAGCGCAGGCAAACATCATGTCGTGCCAGAGCATGATGCCGAGGCGACTGGCGAGGTCGTAGAAACGGCGGGCCTCGTAGCGCCCCCCGCCCCACACGCGCAGCATCTGCACACCTCCCAGGGCCGCTGATTGTAGCAGATGCGCCTCCACCACCGCTGCATCCGTTCCACCTCCCGCAAAGAGTCTAGCCGGGATCCAGTTGCTGCCTCTCACGAATAGGGCCTCGCCGTTGATGCGGAAGAAGAAGGTCTTTCCGTAACCGCGCTCTTCAACTTTCACATCCTCCTATGGCAAAAGCAGATGCAAAGTCTGAGGAGACTAAATTGCACTGCCTCAATTAAGCGCTGTGCTACTCACGGGATTCATCTTGTCAGATCGAAGTTTATCATCGACACCTAGGTCTAAATACGTCTTTTGAATTAATTCAGTTGCTAAAAACACCACCCCAGTTTTGAAGAAGCAATGCAAGAGTTTCTTACATTTATATGCACCACACGGAGAGTGCCTCTTCTATTTATATACGTCGTTCATTATAGCTGGAGCCATTTTAAGACATAAATCAGAGTGCTTTTGGATGGTGGACTTCACATCTACCTCAGAGGATAACCAACCAAAGAGTAGTTGAATTATCATCAAAAGCCAAGTCGGCTTACCCTTTAGATGTTTTTTTTAAAGCACCAGAACCTCGATTTCTAGTCGAGGTGGAAAACGGTATTTTGGCGGGCAAAACGACTTAAAATTATTTGCAAAATTTGTGGTGGTCATATGATCTCTTTAGCAAAACAAATAGCAGATACAATGAAACTGCATCTTCGACTTCCTTCAATTGAAGTTGTGGCTAAATCCTCAACTGCTTTCAGTGTATAGGTAACCGTACTTGATGTTCATTTTAAATAGATCGTTGGATGGACGTCACAGTTGGATAAACTGTAGTGAGGATGGCAAAAATAACGAATCAAAGACAAATCTCAGAATAAAGTAAAACTTATGTTACAAGCAATTTCATCGTATGTTTTTTTTTTCAAACAGAGAAATAGATAAGGACACGCTGTTGCGACACGTCAAATTTTGTTTTCTTCGTGTGTAGCTTTGAATGACTGATTGGCTTCTGCTTGTGTTTAATTTGCCTTTTTTGACTCTTGAAGCCGTCTGCCTAAGCATCGAGGCGATGTTTAGTGATGAAGACCTCGAGACAAGAATATCATTGGGTACATTTGGATTAACTTTTATAATTAGTTGATTTTGTAATAGCATTTCACCTCAATCGCCAGCTCCTGCAGCAGTACACTAAATGCACACAAGTTATCATGTGCCCTTGACAGGAGGAGATGGAGACGGAGGAGACGGAGCGAGAAGCACAAAGGCGGTTTGTCTCTGTGCACAAGTCAATTTGATTGGTGCCCATGGGTGGGTGATGAAAGACGCACCCCCCATGATTAGCGTTACTGCTGCATTTGATCCCCGCGCATTGGGGAGACCGAAAATAAAGCCAAATGATGAGGCGGCTAATTGCCCCTTGCACACCCACACTTTAACGACTTTGCCTCTTGTGAAGTCCTATTCATACAAGTTTCCTCAGAGGAATGGGGAGACCTTTATCCTGCAATAAACCGATCAGAGATATAAGTGGAAATTAATGTCTCCTTTTGGCCGGCTTGCAGCTTCATCTTCTCCCGTGCATTTATTTTGAAAGAGTTGAGACGGCAATGGGACTTTATCCAAGTTATGCCGCTCTCAGTCTCGTGGATGCATGATGGACAACCTAAAGAGCATTCTGTAGTGGCTAAATTCGTATGAAATGTAATGCGTGCGCATGTGTAAGGAGTCGTTACAATTGCTTCTTACAGTTTAAAAGGTCAGCAAAAATTGAGGTTATAATCTCCTTAGAGTGAAAATTTATACTGAAATTTCAGTATAAAGTTGAAGTAAAATCACCTCCGAGGTTAAAATTTTTAAGAGTATGGAAAGAAAATTAATTGATTCACCAAGTTTCTGCTCACACCGAAAGGGTGCCATGGTTTTGGGTTTACTCAGATGTGAGCCCGTAACACGCGCCTCTTCGCCAATATTTGTTTGACAGACTGTGATTGAAAGTGTATGGGAATGGTTCACTTAGACCGTGTCTCTTGTAGACAAACAACCACTTCATAAATCCCCGAAAAAGACGTAGGCAATACCAGAGTAAAGGTCTGGTTCACAGAGAACTTGACGGTGAGGTTCGAGCGCTTGGAACTAACTCATTTACTTTTTCATGCAACTGCTGAATAAAATTGGTGATCTTGAATGTAACAAAATAAAAGTAAGGGAAACCGCTCAAGTTGCCGCTTGTTGTTGGACCGTCCATGCCTGTGCTTGTCAGCGGGTATTCAAAGTTGTCGTTTCCTCTCGTCGCGGTCTTGCTCATGCAGCCCTAAAAAAATTTGGATTTGGGACGCGTCGCTTCAGGACCGACTTAGATGTATTTTTTTCCTTAATAATAGCGGCTAAGATACTGCCTAGGTCACGCCTTCTCAAAGCGGGCAGTTTTGATACATGGAGGTACGGGTGTGAGACCGTCACAAATTAAGGAGACGCTACCAATCCTCGAGAACTGATGGGACATAAAAAGGTGGCATTCCATTACTGGGCTGTTATTTGCCCACCCCTATTTTTTTACCCTCTAAAACAACTCGGTTCGTCAACTTTAACACTTAGAGTAGATGTAAAGGTAAACAATTCAAGCAGTTATGAGCGCTTTCGTTCTACCAGTTACACATCGTCAATTCTATCGTTCGGAATACAAATGGTCGTCATTAATATGTAATTGCATAAGAACACCATGGTAGGGGAGGGTGATGATGAGGGTAATAGAACAAACACCACCGATTGTCATCAAGGCAGGGGATGGAGGCGGAGCAGCTAAAAGATTGGGTACACGCGCATGTGTCCGTGCGCCCAGAGACCCTATACAAGACCGAAGAGGAGGCTTTCTGGTAGTAAAAAATTGCCTAGCTTTGACATGGTCTCTCAATTCGAAATAATCCTATCAATGGACACCAATGCATTAAACGATTTTGGAGTTTTGCTAATAAAATCACTTCTTGATATTTTGATGTGGTAAGGCTACTGTGAGGCAATAATTCATGATATTTGCCACCATAAAACGATGCTTGTAAAAGGTTACGTGGCCAAGCAGCAAAACTCTTTTAACCCAAACTACCTGTGCTTAAGACGGAGTTACGGCGATTAAGCCTTCTCTTTTTGTGTAAAAAGTAAAATCTTATTTACCAGTTAAGGCATTTTTGAGTCCTGCATAATTATTGCCAGATTATTACCTTCCAACCCATCTGAGTAAAGCACCGACCTAATTAATGGAGGTTCCCTACATTTGAAGGGAAGGCGAGGTAATGACCCCCATTTTATGGCATTACCTGAGACTCGAATCGTTGTTGAATGAATTGTGCAATTTGAGTCAAAATGACTTACTCGAGAGAGGCGTCAGGGAGAAGTAGGCCGTGTGTGCAAGCACACCGCTTTGCCTTCCTCTCAAAGATTAAAACGATCGTGCCCCAGTGTGCCGCCACCTACTGCTTGGGAGAATCTTTTATGATCCTTTTTATGGATACCGTTGAGGATACCGTGGATTGAAATGACCATCGCTCGGGGCACTGCACTTAAACTCCCATTCACCGGGACCTCATGGGGCATTTGCAACGGTAATCCAAAGGCTCTTGAGTTTAAGCTGCAAAGCGGACCTTCTGCATTACAATGACGTCAAGTAATCTGTACGTAGGTTTTTACGGATTAATTTATAGATTTCACGTAGATGAAGTATTTATAGCATTGATTCTTCCTAAACAATTATATTAAAACGGGTCTTCAACTATACAGCGCCGCAAATCTGCGATAATTATCAGTCACTCGTGATTTTTCATCAACTTTTTGTTTGCATGGCTAATGGTGTTTCCTTGAAAGCGAGATAATTCGAAGCTGCTCCGTAAAAATTTTACTTTTTTATTTGATGTCTCGTCACAAGTTAATGTGTAATTTAAAAAAACCGGGAGTATATAAATGCTTCTTTGGATTTCAAGTCAAGTGGCCAAATCTGTTATTAAAGCCAATAAGAAGAATTTGGGAGCTTCACGTTTAATTATTTTGTCAGTAAAAGATACATGGAGGCTTTCATCCACTTTCACAGTCTGGAAAAGAGACGGAGTTGAAGTTGCGTATTTGTTGATACACAAGAAGTGTTGTGATATGGGTAGTTCCACTCTAATGTGATAAAATGCACCTTTTCTAATATCTTATTTCCTGGTTTTATATGTGTTTCAGCATATGCTGCCAGTACTTAACGTAATATCCCAAGTCGCTGGAGAATTTAGCAGCAACCGGAAGCATGAGTTAATGCATTAACGCCACTCTCAGAGTCCGCAGGCACGAGGTGGGCTCGGGCAAGAGAAGGAGGTGGCAGGGGGTAGGAGGGATCGTTCTTTAATAGCAGACAGTTGCAGACTGGGGTTTGTATGCGCAAAATAGCGCTTTTCCTAAGTCGATTGGTTCGCCACATCACACAAGTAACAAAACGGAGTTCTAACACTTCTCGTTTTGTTCTTTGAAAAGCATCTAAATAGATGCTTGTAAAGGACGCAACAGTCAGTTTCCTGTATTTTGTGCGAATTCCCTACTTAATTCATTATTGTTAACAAACATATCAGTTATTTGCGCCTCAACTAACGTTGTCACACACATACGCAGGCGGATTTGCCACCGCTGCGACTTGCAAGTGGATGGAGTTCCTTGCTAAAAATTCAAATCGGTTCCTTGCGTATCCATTGCTTATGGTGTCCTGGTATAGACTTCATCCGTAGCTTTAGCAACATTAAGGCCATCATTTCGCCTCGGCGAGAATGCAACTATCTCCCTCTTTTTGGGGGAAGGGGGCTACACAAATGGAATACTTGTAAAATTCCACAATAATGATGATGTCACTTTAACCTGCAAAGTACAAACCTGAGTAGCTCTTACAAAAGTGAATTTACAGCCCCTTCTGAAATGATTTCCTTTACTCACCTCCCCCACTGCTCCCAGTTGACTTAATCCGTCCTTCAACGCATAAAACTTTGTGTTTTTATTCAAGCACCGATTATTCGTAGAAAAGCCATTCATCTCCTCATTCTTTTTTATCCAACGCCTGTCATTGTAAAAATGAAAAACTGCCTTGAATTTCCTCCCCTCCAAAAAAATACCACCAAATTACAATCGCTACCGATTTTAATAAAGGGAATGGAGGCATCACTAACTAAACACTTTATTATTTCATAATCATCTAGAAACTTCAATTCATTTTTCATTAGGAAAATTGAACGATTTCTTTAAACACAAAGGAATTGGAATGTTTACAGAAATCTCTTGCTAATATAAATTCACAACATCAAATATTAGTCCCTTTTGGCAATGTTTTCCACTGATTTAGCCCCAAGCTGAAAAAATGGCAATGGGATGGATGTTAGAAGCAAGGCCGTTCATTAAAACAAAACCAGGTATTTTTCATCACCGAAAATTTGTGAAACTCAAAGTTGTCCTAACATTGGATTCATGTACTACTAATTGGAATAAGTACAGCAGCATTGACGGACAAAATTTTCCACGAGCCAATCGATGCTCGTAGCCACAGGGTGCGAACCCTATCGATGCAGGAGGGCGTAACCCTGGCTCAGCGTCCCGCCTGTCAGTTTCCATTAGGATAAAACCCATCTGCGTAACTTATGCGGCTAAAATTTGTCACACACGAGTGTGTATGACAAAGCATTTCTGAAGTTCAATGCGAGTAAGTGAAATAAAAAAAATGAGAGGGATAGAGGAGCAAGCGAATTGATTGAGGAGGAATGATCGCGAGGAGCAGTTCCACCTAGACGAGGATGCTTGAAGTGCTGCCAGTGAAGCGCTCACCACACAAAAGAGTCAAAGCGCAGAGACCAGAGCCGTAAAATCGATGCGTCCTTTCGGTATCTGATTGGCTAGCGTGAGATGTGTTCAACATTTATGGTTACAGTAGCTGCGCTTCCAAGCCTGTGAGGACTGCGCGCAACCGTGCGTACGTGCAGCCACAATTCACTTACGCATGCCACGCCTGCCGCCGAGACTGTCCCGGTTACCGTCGCGCCCATCCACTGCAGGGCGTGTTGAAGAGAGGACGAGAGAAGGAAAGGCGGGCGGAGGGGGAGGGAGAGCACTTCAGCACACCCCTTCAGCCCTCACTCCCCTTTCGCCTCCGCGATTCTGCATCAGACTATTTTTGGCAGTGGGGATTTTGAGCCGTCAAGACTGCGTGAGTGCACAGAATCGGACAAAACCAATGGGGAATTTATAAATTGTCAAGGAAGTCAAGATGGGAGGGGCAAACTGCTAAATCGTCCACTCTGCTATTTTCGGGCGAATGCCTTATCGACAGTTTGCGTGAACAGCGGAAGCTGGCTGCCAATTACGGGCTTTTTCGGCTTGGCAAACGAAGTCTATTGATACAAACTGACGCTGTCAAAATACCGATGCTTAAATAAAACAATTTAGTTGTAAAAATGTGCTGAATCAAATGGGAAGGTTGTTTTGAAGCTCCGTATTGTAAAAATAACCGGGCGGAAAAGTGGTTTTCTGTGTTTAATATCAACCACTACTAGGTATTTAACGTACTTTCAATAAAACGTCAAATGACATGAAGGAAACTACATGTGTATAATTTGTAAAAGGTTTTGGGCGAATCAGCAGACCATGCATTTTTCCTCAAAGATTGTCAAACTCGTTTCCGCCACAGTTCAAGTTCGTTCTCCAGGGCTTCCACGCATCACTAAATTTTTACATACTTACTCTCGACATATGACACTTTTGAGCAAAAAGGTAATGAAAAGGTTGGGCTTCGGCGTCATTATAGGTGACATTACTGATTCTGACAACCCCACGAACAAAACTGTCGGTTGGCCTCACAAATATTTACCTCGAAATTGTTGAATATAGTGTTTAAGGGAGATGGCATGATTGGCTTCCCCTACTCCTCATACACCCCTCGCAACTACTGGCTACAAAGTGGTGGTCTCGAATGGCTAACGCCGCAAAATTCAATGCTGAAATCAATTCTCCCCTTTGCCAAACAGTGGCATCCAAGCTGGCGTCACTTCGTGTTTTTTGTGTAAAATGGAGGGCATTTTGTGAAAAAGGCGGTGGGGAAAGATTTGGTTAATAAATTCATATCGTACCTGAACGAGTTTCACTTCCCGGAAGCCAACCCAGAAGGATTTTCTGTCGATCGGAGGACCACCAAGGGGATTTCGGAGCTGCACCTTCAGAGCGTACAAATGTGGTCCAGCCTGCACTCCGAGCGGCCACCAGGGTCTCACTGTGACGTTTGAGGCCAGTGGCAGTTCCAACCACACATTCGTCTCGCGGTGTCGAGGCGAAATGCAGCGCTCCGTCCACTCGTGCATTAACCCGCCGCCTAGTTTCACGTGGATGCAGACACATTGGTCCGTCCTTACAATGCTGGAACTACGAAGAACCTCGACGGAGACGGTAGTCTTCCAACCGCGTTTTATCATTACTGGGAAGAAGCGTAGACCATCACCCAACCACACTTCACCGAATCTAAGGAAGGGCAGCTTCCAAAATCCCTGAATCGGAAAGGCAGGACCCCAATCCCACCCGAAAGCAGCCTGCGTTGTTCTCACCGCGTTAACATAGCATTCACCTCTGAATATGTCGGGCCAGCAGGCGGGAAGTGGTGGGTTCGGCGACAGCTTCCGATAAGCCTCCTTGGCCATTAGGGGTGTCGGCTTAAAGACGAGTTGGAGGAAATTCCAGCCACGGCAAAGGACAGAGTCGATGGGGAGGATTGTGCGGATAAAGCTATTTTCTGTGCATGCCAGAAGACGGTTGTTGAGATAGATGCAACAGAACGTATCCAGCTCGTCGAGCTCGAGAGAAGTGGTTTTTAGAACTTCAGGGTATTCAACCCAGAAGTAATGAGAGAAAGTCCAGTTCTTGTAGCTAATGTAGCGTAGTTCTTTATCACCGTAGCCGCTAAGGGGATCACTAATGCTCCCAATCTCCTGAAGAACTGAGTAGGCATCCGTGCCGGTTGAGGTGAGATTGAAGTGCACAATGCTATCCCCATCGCTGAGCCTCCAGTGGCCAGAAAGCGGGACTGAATAGTTCTGCCCCGGTTGAACCAGCAGCAACAGCAGCGGCAGAGCTGTCACCACCTGCAGTTCCGACATAATGTAAACTAATCCCAACAACGATTTCACGCTATTGTAAACAGAACACACTCATGTGACCCACCGGGTACCAGTATGCGTGCTAATGGAGCGGAACCTGTCGGATTTTCTGCATCTAATTCGTGGAGAGCAGTTACCAGATCGTTCCCCACGGGGGTTTTCTAGTTCCCCAGGATTCTAGTAAGAATGTGAAACCATTAAGTGCGACGAACAAAAACTACAAATTAATGTAGATTGCTGAAACTGCCTTTGAATCCGAACTAATTTCTTATGCTTCATTTCACATTCAACATCGGGGCTCCCAGCACACTAATATGAATGAGCTCAACAGACAATCTCCTCATCCGAAATATGCCTCAACATAAGCGATTTGTTTACAGTAATCGAAATTACACTTTGTCCGGGAACGCGTGAACCCCGCCTCAGTCGCAGAACCGGAGGGCCTCCACGACCAGGTGAGGAAGGGGAACAATCTGTACACCTTTAACAGCATCACACGGCACCCAAGAACAATGCCTAAAATATTGCACCTTGTTGTCAGAGCCCTCCCTTAATCATTGAAAGCACACCCCGGCACTTCCATTGACGACACTGAAAAAAGAAAGACTGTAAATAATTTACTGAATTAATGGGATAATTAAAATGAACAAATTAGTGAATGAAAACGGAGTGCAGCTGGACTTGATGGACAGGATCGTGAGCAGTTGGCGGAGCAGGAGACTAGTGCGCGGAGCTCAACCACTTTTGGACCTAGTTATTTGTCTGATTTGGGTTTCTGGCCTCTAGACAAAGTGTTGCATCGAATTGGTGCACCATTCCGTGCTGTGGAGGCGTAAAATCCAACCCACTATTGATTCTCGAAAAACAGCATCCTCTGTGACTTGCCTACTAAATTTCAATGAGTGGTGCATTACGCACAGAAAATTAATGAGTAAAACGCTCCCAAGTTCGCATTCTATTTCACCCGAGTTTTGTCAAAAGTAAAGTAAGGCAAAAGGCTTCTTTTTCTAGAGAAAATGAGGGCATGGACGCGGGCAAGGAGTAAATGAGGAGGTGGTGGTGCTAATAACGCTGCACGGGGAAGAGTGAGTAGAGGAAGACAGCGAGAACCACGCAGGTGGTGCCGAAGAGGAAAGTCCAAGAGGAACTGGAGTCGAAGAAGACAAAAGAGACGATACAGGTGATCACTAATGAGGCTGAACACGCAAAACCCTATGGAATGAAAAAGGTAGTGAGAACTAGCATCGCCGAGGCAGTCAGCTGTATCAATTGGATTCGCGCATACCCAATAATGCTAAGGTTGCCTGTATTTGTTACCAAGTCAACCGTACCAATACTAGTCGCAGGGGGGGGGAAACTTTGTATACCGTATTTGTATAGGAGGAAGCGGACGAATTCGAAATCTGCGTCCATAATTACTTGCAGTGAATTACTGGCTCAGCGAACAACGAAGTAGAACCATAATTCCCTAAACTATCTTGCCAGTGAACGCATAACTTTAACATTTACTAGAGGAACCCTTCGTAACAAGAAAATCAATTAGGTCTTAGGATGGGCAGCGGAACTCCCGTGTGTTTAAAAGCCGTAGATTCAAACGACCAAATTTGGTGAATGGTCATGGGTAGGTTCAACATAAACCATCTAGCCAATAAGTTCGAACCCTTTCTCTATCAGGTGAGATATTAATTAATAAAAAGTTCAAAAAAGTACGATAAGGAAAAATCAAATGAATTGGTATGCACACAAGTAGAGGGAAATCTCGATTTCCTCTACTTTATAAAAGAGACATGATCTTAACCCATTGATAGTGGCTATTCTTGCAAAGCTTCTGGTTTCAAACTATCAGAAAAGGGCAAGTTTTGTAAAAACGCGTAGATAAAATGGAAGCACTATCTGACGCCTTGTCTTGACTAATAGACCATACACATAACAATAACAAATAAGAGAAAATTGCAGCACCTACTTTCAAAATATTGTCGGCGTGCTTAACGACAAGTGCAACGAGGATGCCACCGACGGATTGCAAAGCGACAGTAGTCCAAACCAGCCAGTCGAATCCGTAGAAAAAGCCCTTCTCACTCACTCTGCCTCCTTCGCCTACGGCTTGGCCAACCAGTGCAATAGCGATTGATGCCAATGAGAGCTCAAAGTTTCTTGTCCAAAGCGATTTCGGTGAATGTTTAAGGATCTACAAGGAACATTTCGCTAATACTCCGGTCTAAAGCAATTCATAAATTATAAGAAAGAACAGGTTACTCTTTCAAAATAAACGGCAGCAAACCCAGAGAGTACTGAAGCAAATAGAACCGCCATTAAACCCGCAGCGCCTGAGGCATCATGTGGGGTAGGCGTTGAAGATTGTGCCACATGATCCTGCAGTTGTACAACGGCCACACCAATAAAGAGGACAATCTGTGATATCCACTGGAGAAAACTAATGCTCTTGCGCAAAAACAAAACTGAGAATATTGTAGTAGTAAGGAGTTTTAGCTGATACGTCACCTAAACGTTCTGATTGCAAAAATGAGGTTACTTGGAAAACCGTCGCATCTAAACAGCTTAATGCGAAAATGATTGTATTATTTTGCACGACATAGATCAAAGCCGGAACACAGGTTCGAAGGAAATCACAAGTGTCGTAGTAAATACCACTTATGGCGCGTTTAAATAAACCTTCGTGAAACAATACAAGGGATGAGATTGAAAATTTCATGATCTCGCTTAGTATAACAACTGAGGAGGCAGAATATCTAATCCGATATTCAGCGCGTGAATAACGCATAGCCAGCGTATGCAACACATTTTGGAAGGACAATATGACCAAGTAACCGATCTTGGCCCACTTGCTACCAGGCATAAGTACGATTGGCTACGTCGGTTTATTCCATTTCAATATTAGTAGTGCAGATATTTTACATAAAGTAATAAATAAGAAGGAACAATGCGGCTGGCAAAATCTAAGGCGAAAAGAATGCATAAATTAATAAAGATGCACTCAGATATACAACTTTGAAAATTGCATGAATACGAATAGTCGAGGGTGTCATTTAAATCAGTGTTTAATTTTTATTCCCTGAAGGAAAAAATTTGCTTAATTTGATGGTCACTTAGTCTAAGTATCGCCTACGATTCATAGTTGGAGTGTAAAAGCACTTTTCACAAACTGAAATGCCTTGTCGAAGGCAAAGGTCGGTTCGCTTATTTAGCTACACATTAACAACTTCTTACCAGAGCTCATGCGTTACTCCGAGACTTTTTCAAAGAAAAAAGAATATATACGCTAGGGCAGAATATGTATTACTGACGCACGCATTGGCTGAAGTGCCAATGGTATGGTCCATGGACCATGCCGCCAATCGCAATAGAAAGGTTGGGACTTAAGAGCTCGCATAATCAAAACTAAGGGTAAAACGCGTACTCAAGGTATTGGATAGCCTCTATTCCCCTTTAAACTTCCCTTCCGAGGATCCTCATGGTCAAAATTTCGAGTCAGCCACCACAACATCGTTAGCGTTGTAAAAAACACCCATGAACTAACCATGCTACCCCTCGAATTGACATGCAGCAGTGAAGATGTCTGAATGCAACGTCACCAACTTATTCTTGTGATTTCAAATGGACCTGGATTTCCATCCCGTTTGGGAAGTGTATGGGGGAAAGGGGTAATGTGCTAGCCATGTCGTACGCCCATCGCCTTTTGCAAGAACACTAGCACAACAATTAAATTTCTGACAGAAGACAATGTTTTAAAACAATTTAGTGAAGATGGGTCTTCAAGCCTATTCCTACTCATCACTTTGCTCTCAATTTGGCGCTCCCCAGCTATATTAACCTGGGATTTATCCAGCTAGAGGAGGAGTGGAGGACTTATCTCATGTTTACGTAGTTGATATGGCTAGATAGATGGGACGCGGCTGGCTTCGCTTCATCCGTTGATTTAATGCTCGCCGGACACAAGACAGGGGTAGTTCAAGGGGAGCCGTCCCATTTTCTCCCAGCTGCAGCATTTATCCTTCTCTCGTCCTGTTAAGGTTTAGCATTCAGTAATAGAAATCAAAGCGGTTGTCTTTTAGGATCAGGTTTGCTTTTCTCTTCCGCAAGGGTGGCGCCCCGAGTCTTTTCCGAGGGCAAAAGACAACATGATACTTGGGCAGAATATGCATTGCCGACGTGTATAATGGTTGGAAGGCTACTGGCATGGTCTGGAGATCCTGCCGCCCAGCGAAAGTACAGTGGCGGAGCTTTAAGTGCCTGCGAAACTAAAACGAAAAGTTGCACAAGCAACCAAATTATTGTATTTGCTAATAGGATAAACGCATAAGTAGGTTAGAATATCTGTT